AAAGGGCAATAATTACTCGTGTACATCACTAATGATCGAGTTCAATACATGTAGCTCCTGGGCTTGTGTATATTTAATAAGCATTAAGTTAAGAGACCTGTTTCATATATAGTAGCATACTAAGGGAACAGAGAGAAACTCAATCCTCGGATTAAGTATTTAACAGTGCTTAAGTTTAAATACTGCCAGCCGCAATGTAACAATCCATATATATATATATATCTTGTACACGGTTTTGCAATCCACGATACTTGATTTCTAATCCATTTATAACATGGAAAGAAGCATGGGCATTAAATAACAATTAAATAAAAGTATGCTTCGGATTAGTTGGGTTAATTCAACGGAATATCTGTTACATTTTTTTTCATTTGAAGCTGTTCAGACGCAAGTACTTCTAAAATTATTTTATTGGTCCAAACTCTTGATTTTCCTCAATGAAGTTTTAATTTAAAAAAAAAATTATAAAAATGGCGGGAAAGGTTCCATCTCTTGGGGGTCGGAAACAAAGTAACGCCAATCTGCAGAGGTACCGCCTGGACAGCGCCTCCTCTCGGCCCGGTACCAAAATGTCTGGTCTCCAGACCAATAGATCAAGGTAGGGAGTAGTCATTAATTAGAATCTGCACGATTTTGTTATTATATCTTCTTATGTGTTAATATCTACGTCGGTCTTGGAGATCAAATTTCTATCGATATTTTATCTATATTTTTCCTCATCGGTTGAAGTCAGAAGGGTTTAGTTGCAAGAAACGAAATTCATTTATTTTTGTGCTCAGTGATTCTTAAAGTTTCTCACGAGTTATTCCTCTTGGCGTAACTAAGCACTACAGAAAAGGATAGAACAGTTGTCCACACAAAGAATAGCAAAATATTGTTATATTTATTTGAATTACCTTTGAACATGTAAATATCATTTCCAGGGATTTGACGTTAGACGACCTATAAAGGAATGTTCAAAACGTTGCCCAGAAATAAACACCTGATTTGAGATGTCTTCCCTTTGATGTCTTTTTTTGTTAAAATAATAGATTCCTGTTCTGCCATACCCGTAAAGTACCGCGTGATCTCAAACTAAAAACAGAGGTCACCATCCCACGGCATTCAATTTATCCTCTTGTTAGTACAAATTATCTTTGTTCAAAAACCTCCTTTGTGATCAAATTTATAAAAGTAGCCAAATAACTAAACCATAAATAAGGACTTGGTTTTAATCATTTATGAAGATAATGATGGCGTGATGGGAATTTCACTTTGTTCATGAATGTAGAATCTTTGTTTATATAGATTAATGATTCATTAAACGCTAACAGCAATAGACAAAGGGCATGCCTCTCTAAATCTCGGTAGAGATTTATGGGGGACGGGTTTCTTATCACAAGAATTAATAGCGCGCACCTTACTTTGACATCATATCATAGCTCGGTACAGGTAATGGGTATATGGGCGGATTATTTAGAAAGTAAACTTGCATGTATAAACCACTCTTCACGATGATATTGATACCCAGAATAGATTGTCAAATCTTTAATTGGTGATCAACAGCTATTGTACTGTTTGCAAGTTTGTTATGGACGAGGACCTTACAAAACCAAATGTAAAATTGTTTTTGGACCTGGGAAAAAATAGAGTAATATTTGATGATTAGTGACTATGAACTGCTGTTGTGCTGGAAAAAACTTCTGAATCTGGTTCTTATTTCAAAAAGATCAAAATGTCGGCGGGCACAAGGCGACAAGGCAGTTTTCATCGTAGTGGTACAAAAAGTTCAAACAGCATGCGCAGTGTTAAGTTCCAGACAGAAGATTCCGGGTCTGACCGATCATCTTCCCAAGCTTCCTCTGTGGGAGGGGGACTTCCGTACCGACCTACTTCCGGTCGACCTCCTTCAAGTCGTTCGTCATCAAGGTATATATAGGGCTTAAAAATGAATTATCATACATCATCTTCAACGTACGTAGGATGAAAATTTAATGGAAACCAAAACAATAGAAATTTCTCCTGCGGGTTGGATGGTGTAAACTAATTTAAGTGTATGTATATTTGTGATGACTGCTTTTTCAGGGTGGTTCTTTTTCATTCGTATAATGAATGTACGTCAATTAGTTAAGGTAATTCCTAAGCCAAAAAGAAACTTATTATCAGTTCTAAATCTTTGCTGGGTTTTCCCCTTCATTAAACAGCTTAAAAATATTACACTTTGCATCCGATTAGTCGACCATATCGATACCTAAATCAGTATCGATTTGGCATAGGTATTGTGATACGCAGAGAAATCGTTTGGCAAAAAATCGATGTTTTTAAAATTCTTTTTTACGTTATTTTTGTTCTTCAATTCATTATATAACAATTTTTTCAATAGATTTATTTCTTTTTATGTAACTGTTTAAAAAATATATTAATTATTTTAATTTTATTTAGATTTTCTTCAAATTTTAAGGACATCTTAAGGTAACATATTTGGTCCCTTGATGTACGTATTGTTCATGTCCATGTGTGATCTATACAATACCTTAGACTTATATTTGGTTGACAGGACTTCTATGTTAGAGAGGTATAACAAGACTAAATGTTGACAATTTGGGACAGACATGCAACAAAGAGCTTATTTTCTGCAACCATGTTTTATTAAAGCAATTTCTATTTTGAAAGCAACAATAACTTTTTATCCTACTAACTTTTAAAGTTTGAATACATTTAAGCCAATATTAAAGTAAAATTTGATCATTTGCCGATTAATTTCTTATATAACCACAGTTTCTGACAACCATTCCATTAGCTTTACATTACTAGAACCATTTAAAGAAACATTGAAGCCAATAAGCTTTGATGGATGACTTGTAGAGATGAAGGATGAATGTATCTAAAATTCATTTTTTTTCTCCCGAGTTTTTCCTTGATTTTCAATCTGTGTTCAGGACAGATTTGCTATGCTAGATTGCTGGAATTTAAGCAGTAATTCAAACACAGATTAAATGTAATTCTGTTGACTCGATGTACACAATGTGGACGGAGTGTTTGTAATACCCTGGTGTTTACGGTTTAAGTTCCGATTTGAATTTCAATCTCGTTTGTTTGTTTGATCTAACTTTTATCATATTCTATTATCTTCAGAACATGACTTTGTCGTCATTTTAAAACGCCTTAGGTGGAAATGTTCCTCAATTCTTTTTAGTCTTATTTGTAGACAATCAATGGTGCTGCACATAATATGTCTCTACATGTATTTATGATAGAAGACCTACATGTAACACTTCTCACTGTATATAATTCATTTATTTCATGATTCAAAATAATAAATCGTCAACAGAAATTAATCAGCGTTTACGACAGAAACCATTATCAATAAAGGGACTTAACTGCTGCCTATCACGGACATTTCCTCCGATAGAGGCGCGTTTATATTAATGAAGGGGATTAACAAGACGTTAGTGATACGTTAAGGTGTGAGATGGGGATTTGTCCTGAAAATCAGTTACACTAATTCTGATAAATTTCTCTCTTGAAATGTCTGAGATTTAGTTTTGATAAATTACATTGAATGTGTCCGTGTTTTCATCCTAGCATCGTCCTGAGATCTTTAAGAGGTAGAACTTTATGATCATCTTCTTGGTTCTCACCAGGAAAAAGTCGATTGAAAGACACAGAAAACAATAAAGCCTCCCTATTCTGTTTGCAATGCGATTATGTCGTTTGTCACCTTAAATCCTCTCCAAGACGCAGAACAATATGAGGGATTTCCCTCCCGCCTAGATCATAGGCAGTAACGGCTTCTATGTGTCGGGGACATTTTATTATTTCTTGGCATGAAATCTGGGTTGTTGAGCGCAAAGGAATCTTTCATTTATTTTTGATAAAACATTAATATTTCTTTGTTTATTTACTTTCTACATGCATGTATATTGTGAAAGTTGAAAGTGTTCTGCCTGCGAGACTTTAGTGGAGTTTCTCTATAACTCCCGTGGTATTTGACAATAACGCCTTCGATTGGTCCAGTAGAATGTAAATAGGGTTTTGTTGTTTCCTTTCACCCCTTCCTAATCACCACTTTTTGCCATTTGATATACATATATTTTATTCATGACCAATTGTTAGTCGTTCACTTATTGACCCTTTTGGAAATATACAAAAAAGTGTTGCATTTTTCAAGGAGCCGCAGAGTTCTAGAAGTTCCTGCAGTAGAGTGTTTCGTCAAGTGTTGGCTTAGAATTGAGGTGTTCTGAGTCGGACTGTTGACTCGGTCCAATACTGTATATTCTGCGGCTAATTGAGAACGTAATAAAGACCTGGTGCTTCGCTATAGATATGTCAACAACAACCATTGATTTCCAAATACGGTTTACCTTTCAAAAAAAAAAGTGAAACTGGTTAGCTTTGGCGGGGAAACTGGTTGTAGAAGCTTTGACTCTGAAAGCAAATATTTGGATGGGACTTTTAGTTATGTTTTTGTGTTTGTTTGGAATTAAAAGGAAAAATCTCTTTGCTTTTACAACGTTGTTGGGGGTAGGCAGTGCCGATTCCAAACTGAATTCTCAATTGTCGGAAATATGTTGATCTGATGACTGGATATTATGCACTGTTACTTCTTGTTGTCAATGAATGTCATTTGAATATGATAAGCTTAATTGAATCATTACGTCGAAACTGTTGTTTAAAAAACGTACATTAACAAGGCAATTTTGGGCTATTTCCCGTGTAATTGACAGCTTAATGGGGGATATGCTTTCCATATCTGAACGAAAGTGATCAGGAACTTACATTGGAAAACAATTTTCACGTAATGAACGATCGTTTATCAAGTTTGACATGACAACTACCCGGGCTCTCTTCAGAAAAATGTGTCAAGAACAACTTTTTTAGAATAGTGCGTGAGGCTTAGGGATTCTTACGTGTGGAGTGAAGTGACAGGTGGATTTCCCTTTTGAAATAGTTTGTGGATAGGATTTCATTTTCTTTAATGTATACATTTGCTTCTTTCATTGTGACGTTCAGCTTCGTTAACTTAAAAAACGGATTTTAGTTCGAGTTTGCGTCCAATTATATATTTAATTGCAGTTATTGAAACATGAAGTGCGGATTTAATCTGTAACTGCTGGGGTATTGATAGCAATAACGTAAAACGAGAGACTGGGAACCAGGTGCCGATTAGTTGTGTTGTAACTTTAAGGATGAGTCGTAGAGGTTCGACCCCCGCCTCCAGCAAAAAGACGTCTTCCTCCTCCAAACGAGTGTCACTGAAGGACGGTAACCTTCTGGGAGGGGCATACAGGCAGTCACTGGGGGATATTCGTGAGGGAGACACGTTTTATAAGACCATAAAGTTCTACCCCTCGCTGTCTGACCTTCCCGATGACGTCACAATTAACGTTGCAAGGGCCATTCGAGAAACGAGAGCGGGGTCTTCGGCGGGGGGAGCGGAATCTCGCAGGGGGTCAGTCCTTAGTCGGGATGAATCCTCCTCCCCGTCACTAGGGCGAACGGAATCTCCGATAAAGGAAAGGTATTCAGTTAATATTGTGTTTAATTTGTACCCGACTTCAGGAACTTATGCGGTTTAATATTTGGTTTATCTTGTCCCATGTTTATGTTTGTCAATCAAACATTTGGAGATTAATTGGCCTCCGTGCTTTTTAACAACAGGGTTTATATTATATTTGTGGGCTATACATGTGGAATGGGTCAAGTTATATTTTCCAACATCTTTCCTTGTTGGATTAGAAGATGGTGTAGTTTTGAATATTCAAAATCAATGGGCAAGTGTCAACTCTCTCTCTCTCTCTCCAAACAAACATCTGTTTTTTCTGAGTTGGAATCGGCATTTGTAAAAATCCATTAGTTAGAAATTTCGCATATCAAGGGTTTTAATTTTAATTGCAGTTTAAAAGCCCATTATGAAACAAAATATGCAGTATCGAGATCTTTTTAAATAAGAGGTTTTGACGACTTTTCAAAGTGTATTGAACTCAAAAGTGACATAGAGGTATATTTTGACAAATTATTATGTGTGCAATTTTCAAAGCCATAAAATTTAAAAATCGGCAAGATGTCGTCATAAATTTATTACTGTCAAAATTTTTCAATAATAAAGACTGTTAAAGGGGAAGTTTCTCAATTATTTGTGTATTTATAGACTTTGCAGACTAAAAAATTAAGATTTATGGTCGTTGTATAGAACCTTATAAAACTGGATGCTCATAACATCGAGGATGGAGTTGGTTAGAGTGAAAGCATTGGTTTGGCCAAACATGAATCTGAAGTATTTTTAAGGAGCATAACAAGGGTACATTTGGCTATATTACACGTTTTATTTATATGAAAAAAAAAATATACATGTTCACGGAAAAGCTATTTGATCAATGTTGCAATAGCGTTAATACGATAGTGGAATTTGACTACGGGATGAATTAAATATTATTAAATATATTGATTATCCTCCAATTTAATCGACAAAATATTCTACTGCAGGACAAAAGCACCACGATGTCATTTTATTATTTCGGATGAAATATTAAATTAGAAGTCCGTGTTTAATTTTAGTTGTATTTAGTATACATGTGCATTTTTTTCATAAAAAGCACACTGGCCTGGGATTAGATTACCCATGTGTGATCTCACGAATCGATCGATTATATAATGTTTTAGAACAAGAAAAGTTTTTCTTTCAAATTAAAAATTCAATATTAGTTACCATGCAACATATATATTAGTTTGATTTCAATCGATGGTTCCCTGTCCTGTCGCTATTTTTCTATGAGATATTTGATCACTCCAATCTATTCTTACGGTGGATATATTTATTAAATAATCCTGAATCCAAGGAAAATAGTGCTTAGACCATTCTGTTTCTATGTTAAGGTGAGGTGTTTTTTTTATTTCTGCTATTTTAAACTTTAGAGTAAAATTTTTATAGAATTCAATATCACAAGAAAAATATCCATCATATATGAAATTTTATCAATAACATGAATTCGTGTTGTTGTTGTTGTTTTTTAATTATTATTATTATTTGGGGGGGATCTTTTCATACTTTTTTTATTTTACATATTTTTTTTTAATAAAAATCTTTTTAAAAATAATTATTTACGTACATACTATCCTATACCTAAAATTATAATATTTATAAAAATTATAGTGATATTTTATTTTTAAAAAATTAAATATTTTTTCCTGCATTTTATTCAATGGGTTTAGATCTTTTAACTTCAAGATAAACTGCGTTTTTATTATTAGGTTGTTTACGTCGTCTGCTTGTAAAATACAAACTGCTCCCTTTAAAAGCGTCCTCTCGCGGCACATATCTTCGTCTGTTGACATCCGGCAAAGGATCGTGGCAACCGATTTTCCTATCTAATTCTAATGTTTTGTGTGACAAATAACGTTTTTTGAGCCTCAAATCATCTGAATGGCTTCAAAGGCAGGCAAAAAGGGTACTTCTACAAACAGAGTTAGCTCTGCAACTCCAAGGGAGTAAGTTATCTAGTAAACAATAGGCCTAGATCCGTAAAAAGTTTCATTGGTTACAATATGGCTGACATAATAGATGAAGAAACATATATCTACCAATAATATCTACTAATATTACATATGACCGTAAATTTGTTACTGATTGTAGTCCACGTGTTTTAACTGTGTAAAAGGCATACGTAAACAAACTTAAAATGGTGTTTCAGAATGGGTACAGATCGAGTAGGCTGTCATTAACATCACATATTTATGGTCATGGGTTGATGGGGTTTTAATCTCCAGTGGGTGAAAGCTGGTACTAGAATTGACAAAATAAAGCAAACTGCTGTTCTGAATCTTCTGCTATCCAACAATTAGTTCAACATGAAGGGTTTATTGGTCGAAAATATTATATAAAGATCACTATAAAGGGCACAAGGAGGAGAATAAAATTATAAATACTGGTTGAATTGGTAAAATGTCTAAAACTAGGGAATTAAAGGTAGCTGATAGTTCAGTGCTGGAAAGTAAGAGAAATACACCAAAAACGTGTGCATATATTGTACATCATTTACATCATGGGAGCTGCTAGCCTTTAATGCTCAAGGGAAAAAAATAAAACCAACTGTAAAACCAACTTAAACCCTAATGCTACAGGTTCTGCAGCTAGTTGTTTTATACATGCTGAAAAAAAGGCCATAAAAAGCGATTTGCACATTTTTGTTTATATAATAAAATGAGATATTTTTAATTTGTCTACTGTCTATTTTATGCTTATGCATGTATGATTACATAATTCAATATTTCACACAATTTTTGTTTACATGTATAAATGTGTGAAGACACACCTTTTTTTGGTTTCCTCTCTCTATTTCAAATCTTTTCAGCCATCTATCTAACATGCTTTGATTTCTATTCATCTAATCTTTCTTTCTCTTCTCTTTCCTTAAATTGCTACAGGTAGTTTTTGAAGTTTCAAGATATGTCACATAGTAGGAATAGTTCCATTTCTACCATGATTCAAAATGTGAAACAACTCCAGACTGTGGCCTCCAGAGCACAAGGCAAAATCTACAGCAGCAAGTAATATAACCCGTCCTATGATACAACTGGTTACTTTTAAAAAAATGTTCTCTATCATTATTCCTGACAAAAGTTATGGCTATATTTTGCAAGATTTTAAATATTTATACACAATTGTCTATGTTCATTTCATGATTGTAATTGAATGTTCCTGTTTTTTTCTTTTATTTAATTTCTATATTTATATCATATCGTCTGTCCTTCATTATTTGTTACCTTTGCATGTTCTGATTTCTGTGAGAATCCTACACTTGTTTTTTTTTTTTTTTTTGTGGATTTATGAGGAGAAAACATAATTATGAATTCAAAAATAAGGGGAAAATGTTATATTGATCCTAAATGTGTTTGAATTTACAGTTTTAATGTTAGTGAATCCAGAGACGATGTATTTGAATTTTTCTCCTTTTGTTGTTAGACAGTGATTTGCAGATTAAATGTCCTTTGTGTGGGTGAAGTACTTAATCAAGTAGTTTGATATCACTCTGAGTGGGACTTGTTAAACTGGTCAAATATGACTTTGGATATATGCACTGTACCATGACATTCGCACCTTTAAATTAAAAAGAATCCAGGTCATGTATTGGTCTACTTCATTACACACAAACAGGCAGAAACTGAGTTGTTAAATTTGTTTTGTATAGGTAACATACACAGAGAAATATAATTGAGGTGGGTCAGTGGAGTTTGCAATTGTTTTCAAAATTATAGCCAAATTATATCGCTTGACCAGTATGGTTTCGGTGCTATTTATTGCTGTTTTACTCAGTTTTTTCCTACTGAGGGTAATTATTGATCAGAAAATTGCCCATAACTTCCAATGTCTTGATAATCAGTTTTCAGGAAAACAGTTGCGATAATTTTATATTTCATTGATGGCATTCATTTTCTACCTGAATCTGAGTTAATGGCGACTGTCAAATGTTTTCTGTGGTATTGATTTCTATGATGGCAGTTAGGTGGGATACTCTGGTTAAACAGTTCTTCTCGGCTGCTGTACTCCTTTGTCTGCTGGTCACCTGTTGCTGATAATCTCACCTGACATTATTACCTGACAAGGAGCAAGCTTATCCTGGTCACCATCTATTGTCATACCTGTATCACTCAATATATACCACAGACAGACCATTAGGGTCCTGTCATTGGAGATATTGATTGAGGTCTTTTAATTACCTGACTTTATTGGGAATTGACAAGCACCATTAATATTGATCAGGTACCTGCCTCAGGTGGGTTTGACATCAATCCTCCACTGGGCCAGGAAACCAGAATCTATAAAACGGGGAGGGAGAAAGTTCTGTTGCAGAGTCATGACAAAACTCGGAGTGGGATGAAATTGCTCAAAGCGAATGCCATGGCCAGGAAAGACAATTAGATGCTGATCGAGTGATTTGTTGATCAGTTTAACTATGGTTTGGATATTTGATGAATTTTTTTTGTTGAATTTCAAGGAAGTTAATGTTTTGCAAAGACTTCCAAGGATATTTGCAGCATAAGCAGAAATGTGGATTACCTAGTGTCTACTGCTCCTAGAAGGCTTATGTATGCAGTTTTGTTTTAGTAACATGTTTGACATTTTAATTTTGATTCATGCCTGTTGAAAAGTAGACATTAATTGTACTTTTATCCACCCCTGGCTCTTCTGATCCTGTCTTGTACTTTAATGTCTATATTGAAACATCATTTCATTCTTTTTCTGTGTGACTCGCTTTAAGATACAGATGCTGTTCTAGGAAATTAACCACACCAGTCTACCAGAGGCTGAAATTCCATGGATGAAATTACATGTTATAGAACTAATTTGGATAAACAGAATTTCATATCCTGACAGATAGATATAAGGACTATTGTTGAACTGAAAGAAAAAAATGCTACAGCAGCAGTTCTGAATATTAAGTGATTCTTTAAATGACATTTGAAATGTATTTTTCACTTGTCTGTCTTGTGGCATTTTCTGGTATTATGCCTAAAATTGGATGGAAAAAAATTGATGAAGTGTGAATTAATGTAAAACTTAACAGTCTTCCATGATGAAGATTTAAAGGAATGAGAAAAAAACTTGTGTAGCGAGGGGCATGTGTGTTGCTCAAACCAGGTAAAGTAGTCCAAAATAGCTGAGTCTAATAAGAACAATGTAACAGACTTATTTACATCATTGTGTGACAATATTGGTTTCTCTGGATCAATACATATTAATTTGATCCCTGAAGTTTGCAGTTACCTGTAAATATTTTCCCAATGCATTAAATCTCTTTCATTATTCATTGCGCCAATAACACTATTGATTTATTATTCATTACTTTCTCTTTTGTCTAAAGTGTCAAATTATTTAGTGCAAGTTGACACAACAAAGACCTTTGTTTGAAATAAGGACAGTGTTTATATTGATTAAGTAGATTTTATTTGAGGAGGTTTTTTTAGTGAATCTGTTACAGATGATAGGTGTATTGACTCCGTATTTTACCTTACAGAGCGGCCTCTATAGCTGCCAGTGCAGGGGGTGCTGATTCCAAGAGACCACGTGCCTTAATATGGCCAGAGTGGAATGAAAAAGATGTCAATGATGAGAAATGGGTAAATGCTGCTACTTTCTAAATTTTTTGGGTCTGGTAATTTTGATATGGTTTTCTGTAGAGTGTCCATCTGTCCATTATTCTGTCAATAATTTGTGCCACGACAGTTCGAGTACTTTTTTTATCCAAATGACTTCCTATTCATTGTAAATTAAGTTTTCATTAAAATACTAATGATTGAATAATTCATTTTTAATTATATTTATTTAAAGAACCACATTTAAAATGAAACATAAATCATTTCCAAACCCATTATTCATGCTTTTTTCCCATTATTTAATTTTATTTTACTTATTAATTTTATTTCTTGACAGGATGTTGTACAAAAAGCCAAAAAAGAAGACAAAGGGAAATCCCCAGTGGTAAGAATATTCTTAATGTAACCGTCAAGTTCAAAAAATAGTTCCTGTGCGAAAATATAAAGGTTTGCTTTATTTTTCATTACACTTAATTATAACAAATACAGTGAAACCTGTCTAATCCGACAATGAGAGACAAATTTTATGTCAGAATAGACAGGGTGTCAGGTAACACAGTGTAGAGAAAATTTAAAAATGGGAAAGAAAATAAGGTTGGCATTCACATAGAAACGGATCGCACTGGTGTTGGATTAGACAGTTTTCACTGTAAATACAAGAGATTAATAGCCAATAGTAGACATTGAATTGTAAATTTCTATGATATACATTTTCCATCACAACTACTGAATTTTAAATTTAGTAACAAATTAACACTGAAAAAAAAGGTTACAATTACGTATATAAAGATTTTCAAATTTAATAAACTCTGAAGACTAGTTCAAATAACAATACATGTATCTAGATTTTTTCTTTGTATTTCAGGCCCAGCAGCATTACTTTGATGACCCTGAGGGTAAAATTGAGTTGCCTTCTTCACTGAAGGTAGAAACATGGCGTCGTCCAAACGAGTTCATTACAGAAAAGGTTTGTACATGTATTCCTTGTTGATTTTCAGACTCTTTGGCTGTTATTATTATGAGAACATATGAGTGAGACCAGTTCCTGTTTTCTTTACAGACCCCTGTAATAGTGGACCCAGATGGAATGGCTGGGTTTGATTTGATCACGGCCAATGAACACATTCATCACAGTGAGGTAAATAACAATCTAAAGAAAAAGGAACAATGTACTGTCAAACCTTGTGATCTTGAATGCAATGGAAAAGAGTAAACACTCTGAAATATTCATGACATCAGTGGTAAAAAGCTTCAAAGAATATTTAGTTGGAATCTCAAAATCACTTTTTCATATCCATAGTATTCAAGATATTGATGCAGAAGGTACCAAAGTTGAGCTGTATATCATTTCATTTATCAGTTTTGGTCCTATATTTAATTTGTCCATAAAACTTTATCAAAATTAATATAAAATTCCAATGATGAATAATTCGAATGCACAAAACAAAAAGAAATCTTAAACAGAAAAAACGTCATAACAAAAAATGAGTATTTCACATAACACAACTTGTGATAAAATTATGTTATAACTTAAAATTGTTTAATTCTTTCAATGCATTATATTAAGTGTCAGGGAAAATTCATCTAAAACACAAGCCCAATTATTTTCTTCCTTGCACCCAAGCGCTAATTACAGGTGCTGAAATTGAATTAATTGATACACTGGTGTAAATCAAAGCCGCTTGGACAGGCTGGTTAAAAAATTAATTTCACATCACTTCTAAATAAATTGGACAATTTATAAATGTGATTAATTATGACATTATCAGGCAACAAGCGTAAGAGAACACAATTTAGATTCAACACATTTTGGTAAAACACATTTATTATCAATGTACAATTAAACAATTAAACAAAAGAAGAAAATAAGATTGCGGATGGCTTCCTGTTGTTGTGTAATGTACTTTGTGAAATAAACAAACTTCCAGTCAGCTCAGGTAAATGCGCTGAGTGTGACTAATCCCCCTCATCAAGCCATTGTGTATAGATAAGGAGATGATGGGCCACAGGTGTTTACAGGTGTTATCTTTTGTTTTGTTTATTGTCTCCTGAGTGAACACATTTTTCTACGCACACTTTTACCTATGATAATAACGTAAGAAATTAACATTGAATTATTAAGAAATGGTTTTGTGTTTTAAATATCTATGATAAAAAACGGCCTATGATATAAAACAGGTATTAAATAAAACGGCTTGTACTGTATATTGGTGCAGAAGGTACCAAAGTTGAGCTGTATATCATTTCATTTATCAGTTTTGGTTCTATATTTAAGTTGTCCATAAAATTTTATCAAAATTAATGTAAAAATATGATGATGAATAATAAAAACTGAAATTCTGAAATAATTAGAGAATGCATAATTAAAATGATGAAACTATATATCAGTAATAAACCTTAAACTTATTGACCAATGTATACTGAAAGGAAAAAGAAACGCAGGGTAGCATAATTTTCGATAAAAATTTGACCACATGACCGAAAATAACGAAAATTGGTCAGAAGGGAAATTTGAACATTTGATTTAGAAATTACTCAACCGTAAAATTTATGACCAAATTTGATAACGACGAGTTTGTCAACAAATCTTGTTGCATTATTTGATGCATATGAGGTATGCACATCGTTTTTCAATATTAAGAGACATTATGAATTTATTGCAATCTTGGCACAGTTTACGGAAGTTCAATGGGGTCTTGTTTTCGAATTGCTTAATTAATGAAAAAGGCAACAACAGTTTACTAGGCAGTCTCTTGTAAATTTTCCCCTATAAAACGTTTTAGCCGTTGTCAAAGAGGGTCTTGAGTGGTTTTTAATCAACCCTTTGACATGTGCTGCCACAGCCATTTATAGATATTTTTTTAAAGAAAACAATTATGCAATTTGGTTATTCTACATGATGCCTGCATGCGCGCACCGTTTAACTTATTTTTTGCGTGGTTACCCATGCTAAATATAGCCAGAATTTGAAAGATAAACACTCTGATGAAATACCATGCAAAGGAAAAATAAGACTCCGACAAATGCACGAGATAGACATTGAAGATAATGAGAGTTTTCGATTTTCACTTTTGGGGGGTATGATGCTTCAATAACTTATGAATAATAAGACAAAATCATATGAGAATTTGGTTATATCTTTTTGAAAGATGATTTTAAAAGGTAGTTAGGAAAACTAAAAAGTATTTTTAGAAAAACAAATTTAAATCACCTCAAAAAATTACCCTGCGTTTCTTTTTCCTTTCAGCCACATTACAGCTGATGAGATACATCATGCAGCATGAAACTGTGGTATGAGGATGCTTCCTGAACACAAAGCATGAAAGTTCATCCCTACCCCAAATGCATACGGGAAATATGTTGTCAAATTATACTGGATGGTAAGAATACTTTTTCATGAGCTGTGAACATTTGATATAGAAATGTAGATTTGCTATACATGTATTACCAAAAAACATTGGAAAAATTTCTGCCTGTTATGAAAAAAAAAAAAAATCTCGCATTGATCTACCCTTTGACTAAATTATTTACATGATGCCTGTTATCTGTAGGGATGTTGGAGGAAGCTAATGCCTTTTGATGAGATTTTGAACTGTGGCCCATGCTTCTCACCAAAGCATTGATTAAAGTGGCTTCCTTAGAGTAAGCATAAACTTTCAGCGTCTTACCAAACAAAGAAATTTTTAAAATCATTTGTTTGACTGAAATATGGTAGCGATATTGAGACAATGCTTGACATTTTAAGCTTCTACATTTAGAGAGTTCCTTTTTGTTACACAGCTACACAGGAGGCAGTCAGAGCAGTGAGTTTGGGGACTGTAGCATCATCCAGTGTCTGATGGGCTGGATCCCCGAGGCTATACCACTCCAGTGAGTATGATTATTGGCTAGCTCTCTACGCTATAGGTAGGGGGAGGCGGGATTCAGAGTAGATTTCACAGGGATCTCTGGGACCACAACTGTATACCTTCACTTTTGATATTGTGACAGTTTTTCATATAACAGCATGCAAATGAATTGCAACTCTCATTTTTCGGTAATTCAAGGTATTCTTAATTCCCCCCTTTTCTTTGAAATTAACTGCACGGCAGCCATGATATCACTTTTTCATCTTTTATTTGATATAAATAAACAGAGATAATCTTTTTTCTTCACTTCAGTATTAACCATTATTTGCTCTATATTAACATGGTGTGGAGTACTACTGCTTATATCTACAGGGCATGCTGGGTATTACAAGGGGAGGTAATATAACAGCCACACCCTGGACTCAAATACCCAGCATAGCCCTGTCACAGAATGTACACTTAAGCACAGTTATATCAGCATACAGTGTTTTCAATCTACCAATTAAACATCAAAATTTCTACAATACATTTGAAAATATCCCTACTTCAAGGATACTCTCTATTTTGACCTCTTATTTTCTTCCAAGAAACTATGGGATAAAGTATTTATTCACCCATATATACATGTAGGTATTACACTGTATGTTTTGTGCTTGAGCTGCTCTGTGTTGTGTACTGGGCTGCACTGTTGTAAACATGCACTTGATTTTCTTTCTATTTGATGATACTATCTCACAGGGGCCTAATGTCGTCCACTCGGGACATTCCCGCCGGCCCAGCCTCTGGGTCGGGCCGGGCGTCTCCATTAGTGACCGCTAGCCAGGTGCTTGATAAATATATCCAGCTAAGTTCTCAGCCAAAGAGTGCCGAAACCGTGGCCATGCCACACGGCAAGGCTCATAAGGTGAAGTCCACAGTACACCAGGAATACAGGCAAGGCTTGGTTATCTTCAGTAGTGTATTCTCTATCATCTGCTTGCTGTCATTATGTATATATATATACAGCTTGTAGTAGAGATCTCTTATATATGTATCTATATATGTTTACTGGGCATTTCCACTTCTCTATACATAGTTTTATGTCACTATGAACACTAAAGCATGTTTATGATGCATGTCACATTTTAATTTTAAAACTAATTTATATACTTGAAAAAAAAGTAGACTGCTTGAAATAGATAACAAGACAAAGTTTGCTTATGAACACATTTTGCAATATTTCTAAATAAGCATGTTGGAGAATTGATGCAGATAAAAGAATTTTTTCATAGACCACAGATGTCCCTGCATGTCTGGGAGTGTTATATACCCTGTCAGCTGCATGCCCTGACTGATCAAAATTTTATCCTAATCACTGATTCATACCTGACCTATAACATTTTACCTACAATAACAAATGATTACAGTGCTGTCTTTATTCTGAGTGCTTTATGGTGATGATGACTAGCGTACTTGCTGACTGTTACAGACACGGCCACATTCATGAGGTGTGGGAGCTACTAAAGGCGTCCCTCCCCGAGTGGAAACTCCCCCTACAGGAGTGGGAAAAACAGCTACTAGCCGAAAAGGAGGAGCAGGAAAAGAAGGAACTGGACAGCGCAACGCCACATGTAAGTCAAATAATACTGAGGGCCTGTCACAGAACTACTGAGTGTGTGACTGTGTGGAGGCTTTCTATTATGCCTCAATCTGTTCAATAAAGATTATCTTGCAAGATCAGCTATAAGCTTTTGAATGCTGTAGGGACATGTAGTCTGTAGTCCTATCAATATGTACAAAGTAAGAGAGTAACTCTCATAAAAAAAAAAAATAAAGATGAATCTATATATTATTTTTGTCAATTAACAGGACTTAACAAAAGACAATCTTTCTGAGAAAGATGGTGCCAAAGGTGAAAAATCAGAGAAAGCTGACCCCAAGGCCAAGGATGGAAAAGACAAGGGCAAAGATGCCAAGGACAAAGGTGAGGGGTCAAGGGGGGTCATAGGTTACCATTGGATGACTAGTACTGTGTGCACAGTTGATCTTCAGTATTTAGGACTGAATATCATGGCATTTTTTCTAACACTTTACCGATGGGTTTTTATTGTGTTTGCAGGCAAAGACAAGGACAAAAAAGGGGGAGATAAAGACAAAGCCAAAGGGGCTGAAAGTAAGCAGTGTTTTGCATTTTGGAATGTGTTATTTTGTTTAAAAGAGGAGAAGATAGAAGTGACTAATAAAACTTTATTTTATCACAGAGGAGAAGACAATGGATGACATCACAATACCAGAGAAGCCTGAAGTTTGTGTGTTTGCTACCTACTGGAGTACCCCGAAATACCCGGTCAAGGTGTCAGTCCTGGGAGAGATGGCGGATGCCAGCGAAAAACTGAGACAGAACGGTTTGTCCCACCTCTACCCTCACCCTGTCTGTATCACACAGACCCGGTCCTGTCCCTTAGAACCTCCCCCACCACCCGAAAAAATACCGGCGTGGAAACTGATCCGACCCAGGAAAAAGAAACCTGCTCCATCAGATGAACCTGTTTGTAAGTGTAAGAATTGTGATTAATAAAGAGTTATTTCCCTTGTCACAATCAATTCCTCCTAAATTTTCTCAAGAGAGAGGGAAGTGTTTTTTTCCTGTGATAATTTGAGTTTTTATTCTTTTTTAGCAACTCCTGAGCCTCCCAAGCCTATACAGTGTCTAGAGATCACCTCTCCTTTCCTGAACTACAAAGTCAGTCCTATCCCAATTCCTGCAGATACGTAAGTTTACAAGTACTCATCCAGAGATGGATAAATTCTATTAATAATCACATATTCCATTCATAATTTAGGAATATGATTTTATTTTTTGTTAATGTATCCACTTTGCTGTTTTATTCACAGAACTCGTCCCAACTCCTCTTTGTCGAGGGGTGGTACTCGATCACGCCCGGCTACAGGTCACATCAACCAGATAGAGGAAACCGATGAAAACGCACCAGAACCAGAGCCTAAAAAGCCAGAACCAGAAAAAGAGGAGCCACCGAAACAGGAGGTAAGCAGGCAAATAATGAGGAGAATTAAAAATTAGGCAGAGCTTGATCAGCTGCAGCAAGGAACATTCAATCAAACTTGACTCCTCCCACTCCATCACAGAGGTTTTCAATAAAGATATAGATATGTCAAGTGGTCCTTTTCCCCATTGTTTTTGTTGTTGTAATGACTATATTAATCAGATTTGTGTTGTTGTTTTTGTGTTTAAGCTATTTGTGTTGTGTTGAATTGAAAATTAAATGCTTTCAGTTGTTGTTTAAAAAAATTTCACTAATTTTTGGTTAAGGATGAGTTTGAATGGAGAACTAAATTTGACATTCATGTGTTTGCGAATTTTTTCAGTAAAAAAAATTATTGAATTGTGTGTTCCAATTCTTAATGTTGTATTATTCATGTGCATGCTAGATTGTCAGAAGGCATGATCTTGAGAATGCTAGATTTAAAAAAAAAAAAAGCAGTGAAACTTTTTTATGTTTATATATGTTTAATTGATCATTAAAAATCATAAGTATTTTCCATGCATGATTTGTCTGACAAATTTTTAATAAAATACATATACATGTAACAACTTTAAAAAAGTTTCACTGTGTCAAATGTGAATGTTCTAAGTTATTACTGCAAAAAGTAGTTTGTTTGGTAATTGCAAAAATATTAGAAAAGTTCACAATGATGAGGTTAACATTTTTTTTATGAATTAATTGCATAATTTTAAAATAATAAAATAAAAATGCTAAATGCATACACTGATGACTTTTAATTAAACTCATGCAGAAGTAAACTACTATTAAGCAGTATTAGACTATATATTGTATACAGGATTATTTCTGACTCATTTCATTTATTTATTTTTTGCCATTTCACACTTAAAAAAAATTGCTTCATTGTAAAATCACCCACACACAGTTATATCAAAAAGATGACATGCTGTTTTCCTTGAATTTAAAATTTTTCAAAGGGGTAAAAATTAAAAATGGGTTCAAATTTTCCTGTTTACAGTAGTTTTAATGGAACAATTTACTTGTTCAGTGCTTTAATTGTTTGGCTTTTATGTTGTCTTGTCCCCCGTAAGGAACCCCCACAAATCATTGAACCTGAGGTCAAACCATCTACCCCCAGTAAGGAGAGGCGAAAATCCCCCACTAAATCTAAGGAGGGAAATAGAGAGGTAAGGAGAACAGATAAATTTCTCTCATTAAAGCAAATAGGTAAGGGGGAAATGAAAGGAAGAAGCTTCTTAATACTAAAAGGTAGGGGAAATTGAAGTCACTCCTAGGTATGTCAAGAGATGGAACTTGCATATCTAAGGCATATGGAATGAAATATATATGTTAAATGTTATTTTGAAAATAATGACAAAAGAAAGTAAAGGATTAGAAGAGGTAATAGATATGTAAGTATGGAATGTTTGCAGTGAAGTTGTTGTAGGTATTAGTAATTAGAAAATTCTATTATCTTTTGAAAAGTAAAATAACTTGGAAGAAACTTATTTAAATTGGTTAAATATTTGTTATCTGATTCAAATTTATCTTCAGATAATTCATTGCAAATAATTCATAAAGAATAAAGGCTTACAGTTTTGTTTTCATTTTGAAATTTTCGTATTTCTATACAGCATGCTATATGTAATCATATAATAATGCACCTAGAGTATTTTGGTGTATAGTGTAGTAAATTTGTAGTTGAGAGTACAACAGATAAAGATATAGCACAATAACTTTTATATTTATTGTTAAAAGAACTTGAAAGTCAATCCATTGTAACAATGTATTACTTCCTTTTTAGGGATCTCCAAAATGCAAGAGAATAAGCTCAGCAAAGGGAGATAAGACAAAGTCTGCAGGTCGACCAGATTCTAAAGGCAAGAAAGAGGAGGAAAAGCCGGCTAAAGGTAACATTGTAGTGCTTCATTACTCACTGTGATTTTCATTTTGTGACAAACGATAGAATTTCAAGCACACATCAGTTTAGGATTTGTCTTAGATGGTACACACACACCCCTCTGCAGATTTGTAAAAAAGTTTTATGCGCTATCTTGGTGTTGCTGGGATTTGCTCTCACCATTATTTTGCTTAGGTATCATATTTTAGAATTTAAAACTTGTCATTATTGATGCATTGATTTTTTTTTTTTTTTTTTTTTTTTTTGATAATTATAAATTTTTTTCTTGGTTTTTATTATGAGGAGGATTTTAGCTGAGTTTTCAGTACACCGACACTGAATTTACCTGCCTAAAACATAATGAAAACAAAGTTAGATAAATAAAGAGAATAACCATACCTGATCAATAATATAATTTTGTCTTTTTATGTGAACCTAGCTGTTATTGTTTCTTTTATCTATATAAGTAAAAAAAAAAAAAAGCCTTAGCCATCATTGTGTAGTTGGCACAAATTTGAAGCTTTTTAATCCTTTTCCTGCAGTTGAGTCCGTCAATGGAGATTACCTAACTTCACCTCCAGGTTTAACATTACACCAGTTTTGTTGCTATTCTTATCTGTTGATTAAACATCTCATTAACTGATTCAGAAAAGTGTGATCTCTCTCACTCTCTGAACTGATTTCAACTCTTTATACTGAGTTAAAATTCTCTTGAAATATCTTATGTAATAATTATGTATATCCTACAATATTTTGGTTATGGTACATGTATACAATTAACACTTTCTATCTAAGTTAAACTGATGTTTAGTCAACAAAATGTTTAAAGTTATAAAGTAGATTTAACAGAGAGCAAAGTTGCAGAAAATTTTATATTCAGTTATGGAAACATTTAGTTCTAAAAGGAATTTGTAGCTACTGTTAATTTTAGTGACTAGATCTATAGTCCATTACTTAATTAGCTATTGGTGATTTGTATAAATGGAAAAATGGTTTAGTGATAGCTCTGTTGAGAATCAGAAAAGTTAAAATAAATTGAAGTTTTTTTTAATGCTGCTTTGCAATTTACCCTGAATTTTGTAGAGATTAGAATCCCGCTCTTATTCCTGCTAATTAATTCAGTGCAAGAATTATATATTCATTTCAAAATGGTTGAAGAATATTTTAAATATTTACATTTAGTAGAATTTTAGTTGTTAAATTTAGTTACTTTAACTTACCTTGTTTATTACATTAACATTATAATTCTCCTTTCATTCATATTTAATACATGTAACACTTTCAGCTTTAAAATAAACATTCATATAAAAAGAATACCTTATGTATGTGAATTTTGAGAAGATTCTTAAAAAATGAAAAAAAATGCTGAAATTTATGATAAGATATTAAACATCATTCATTTTAGAAATGATCAGGTTACTGTAGAGGCATGTTGAAAAATATTTTAACCTCCATGTCAAGGTCAAAATATACGTTGTATTTCTTCCTTGTTTTAGCCACACCCCCTGCAGCAGCCCCTCCCCCAGCTCCCTCTGATGGAGGCGGGTTTGCCCCACCCCCGGTCACTGACCCTGAGGCTGTACCCCCTGAGGGAGGAGAGGAGGGAGTAGAGAAGCCAGAGGAGCCACCAGAGGAACCGGTCATTGATGAGGAGGCCGCCAAGGCCAAGAAAGTCTGGATGGACTTCGAGATGTTCTGTAAATGTTTCAAGTCAGTGTTAAGTTTCTTTCCAAAATGCTTATCATTAGTGTTTTTGAATAAGTATTGCTTTCTTATCAGATCTTGACAAGTAATTTTGTTGAACATTTTTTTTATATTAAAGAATTATTGGACTTATTTTGAAAGTGTATTTTTAATACAATATTGTGTGTTTCTGATGTGCAAAATTTATCTTTTACATTTTTCAGAACTTTGTACATTTACCACAAACCTAACACCTATAAGTACAACCATAAGCACGCTGATCTAAAGGTAAGAAAATCATTGTTACCTCCCCTGGCCAGGTCCTCACAATTTAACATTCAGTTTATTATATAAGTCCTTGGGAAATTTTTCAAGTGTATTTTTTAAATTATTCATTCATAAGGTATCAAATTCCCCAATTTAATATCAACTTTATACCAAAAAGATAATTTCAGCTACCTGCATGGTATTTTAATCCATTATTTACATGAGAGCAGTTTTTAGAAATATAAGATCCTCTAAAAATTTGTATCAAAATTCATTCAGAACAAGGTCTTAAATATATGATTTAGTTCCTGGGTCCTGCATACTACAGTGACTTAGTTTAAATTTCCTACAAATGTCTTCTCTGTTTTAATTTTGGGCATTATACCATATATTTTCAAAGAGTAAAATGTAAAGACTTGATCTTTCGTTATGGCAGAAACTGGAGAAACTTTTCAATGTTCAGGTTTGTGACTGGTATATCCCCCCGCTGTTGTATGACTTGCATGCCCTGCCCAGTTTGTTACTGTCTATATCTATATATTGCTAGCTTAACACAATATGCCAAGGAAGCGTAAGTTCTCCAGGCAATGCATGCTGTACTGTTCCAGCATTCAAATTTATTTTCAGTAGAAACATTTTTTTTTATAGTTAATGGTTTACAAGTATTCTCTTTTAATTGTTCTATCTTTGTTTCTCATTCTTTGGCCAATCTCTTTCTTTTGTTTAGGGTTTTAGGTTAAATTTGAGTGAAAATGTAGAAATTTTCATCTATTTTTCGGTAATTTTTTTTTCAATGTTCAAAATCTAAAATTTTAAGAAATTAGCTTATCATTTGACTCAAGATTCTTGAATAAGATTAAATTTAATAGAGTACTAATTTATGCGAATATAGCTTAATTATGATAACAATAGCATGGTCACAAAAACTAGAATGTTTCATTTGTAGAATGATTTGCATGATAAATAAAACTGTACTAAATAAACATAACTTTAAACTTAGTGCAATTAATGAAAGAGTTTATGTCATTAGTGTGCTTATCATTGAAATAAAGCAGTTTTCATATTATTCTGTAAATATGACTGAATTGTATGTATGACAAGAAAATGCTGAGCTCTCTTTAACAAAGTGATTTTTGTGTTATTTAACATTTAACATTGGTGTTTTAAACTGAATTGCTAACCAATGAGAAGTTGAGACTTTCAGATTTTGACCATCAACAAGGATGCTGATTTTGCTTCTGAATTCTGACCTGCCTATTTTACAGAGTGTCACACAGGCGGCTGCCCCAGTGGGCAAAGGGGACAAAAAAGGAAATCCGGGAAATGTTGGCGGGGTAAATACCTCCAAGACTGCTCAAACCCCACTCTCTGCACACTCCCTCTGTAGTGGTGTGAGTATGTGTGGTCACACTTCACTGCACATCTAGTCCACCAAGGCTCCACCCCTTCCTCTTCCTGTTTATTGTACTTCCTGTTACTAGGGTTATCTCCTCTTCTTTCTTCCCTTTTAAATGTCTTTAAAATGCACCAAAAAATTGTTTACTTTAACATGGATTAAAGATTAACTCTTTTGTAAACATCATACACATTTTTGTAACTGACAATCATAGCTGTTTTCTATAGCTCTTTTAATTAATTGATATGGTCATTTGAAGTATTTGATACCAGGAGTCTTGAATTAGTACCATTATCAATTTACTATACTGTTATTTTAACCAAAACCACAGATAATTTGTGTATACCAATTCATATTATGTGCACCTTTTATCTAGATAAGAAAATAGTATAGACTCATTAACAAAGATAATTTTTATTTTTCAGGTTTTAATTTGCCAAAAATTATTTTTCAATTATCTATTTTAAAACAAACTTTTTGAAGAAAACTAGTTTAAAATCCTGACAAATAAAATGCAGTGAAGTGCCCATGCACAGTCTCTTAGTCTGGTCCTTGCTTTTGATTTGTCCTGTAGTTGAACTGCTAGTAAACCAAATTTGTTTTAGCTTTTGATATCTCCTGTCCTTGATGTACTTATCCATAGTTCTCTTAGTAATATATAACTATTTTTCCTTTGTTAAGGACATAGATTTTTATTAAAATTTTTCTAAAGTTTATTTTTCCTTAAACATGTTTAACTTTTTTTTTTTCTGGATACAAGGCTATGTTAAATTTTGAAGAAAATAATTTTGAATTTCAAATATTTATTTTGGATATTTTAAAAACGTCAAAAGTTTAGAAATCAGAATTTTATGAAAATTTTGAATATTTTTCATACATTTAGAAATTTCAAAACAGATTTTGAAATTACACCTTAACATTTCACCTTTTAGAAATTTCTTTAAAAATAATGCACAGTCAATTTTTAGTTTCTTTAAAATTTATTTGTTATAATGAAATATCAGTTCCTTGCAATTTTATAGCAAAAAAGTTTTCGGTGTTTTTCAAAATATTAAAATGATATACTTTCTTTTTAAATACAGTCAGGTGTAATAATTTTAGCAGACATGATCTGGTATAGATTTTTAGAAAGTTTAATAATCTAAACCAGTACACTAGTACTGATGCATAATTTTAATAAAAATATTGAAATAGGAGTGCCTTGTTTGCTTACATTATTACTAACCTGAGTTCAAAGTTATATCATTAATCACTGCATGTCACAAAGAATTAGAATGATTTGACAGCTGTAATTGATTTCATTCACTTGTACTTGTAAGAAAAGAGCACTTCAGTACTATGTTATCAGCTGAGGCTGTCAAAACTTTCTCTTTTCCACTTTTTAAAACTTCAAAAGCAATTAATTTTGTGTGTGCTTGTGTGAAAATCATTTACAGGACTTTTCTTAGCTCTTTGTGTAAATGTTGTAATGCTAAAATTATGTCTGAATTTCATTTAGTTTTCGTGAATTTGAATAAAGTGTGTACATACATGTTAATTTTGATTTAAATAATGTGGTTTTGCTTGTAACTAATGACTATTTTAAGTTCTGTGTTTAAAAGAATGCAAAGTCAGTTAAGAGAATGTTATAAAACAAGATACTTTTTGTTTCAGGGAGGAACTCTTGCTGATGAAAGAGCACCACACTACTTATGTATCTTTTGTACATATAGTGTATCAGAAGTGAAGTGTAAAAATTATTAAAAATAAGAAGTTATATTTTACAGCATATTAAAAGAAAATTATTTAAGTGAGTAAAGATATTGCAAAATTTTGGAGGAAAGATGTGATATACTGCAAAACAAATGAATTGGAGATACATGTAATATCTGTTCTCAATTTTAAAGTCTTTTCTCATTCAAATAGAAAAAAAAAACATGTGGAATTTAAGTATTACAACTATAAAAAGCTACTGCATGTAAATGAATGCAGGAGGATAGTTATGATTTTACTGGATAGTGTGTTCTTTCCTTAACCCCCATAAAAGTTGTTGACAATCTAAAGCCCACGGAAATCGTGGTGTGTTTCTCGGCCCTGTCCCGCTGGCATGACCCCCCACCCCAGGGGATGGACGAGGTCAAATCTCACACCAATCTGAAAGGCAAGAAGGGGGATCAGGACAAGGAACTGACCACTGTGACCAGCAGTAGTGTCATGGAAGGTCAGTGTTATCTCCCCTTCTTCTGCACCCCAAACCATAAAGTTTCACCCTCCAACATCACGGTTACATTTGAGAGATTTTAGATATTTAATAAATGTGTGTCCTGTAGTATAGAGATTTTTTATAAACCTGTGCATCATTAGAAAAATGTTCCCTTAGATATTTTATTGCATATTGATTAAAATAGCTGATCCCTACATGCACTGCTAGTGCCTACTAGTATATGATACAATATAATGACAAGATCTCTGTTTAAGCATGTAATTGGAAACATTGTTGGTTGTAAAACATTAACTTTACAATGTCTGACTTTTTATACAGAGATCTTGTGAACAATGGCCATCTAGATACCTATAGTTTGCATCAATCAAAAGCCCATAGCCGATCAGATCCAAAATGAGTTGATACTATGTGTTTTATGAATTATAGGAACTGTAAATAACGAGTGTAATGACCAAGATAATAGTTCCCTACTTATATTCACTTGTTAATGTAACTCACTGAGTTATCTTGTAAATCACTGAGTTTACCTGTGAATCACTGATTAAACCTTTAATTCACTGACATGTCCTGTAATTCAATGCATTATCCTGTATACCACCTAGTCACCTGTATTTGTTATTGTGATGTAATGTGTTTGTTTGGTCATGTTAATGCTCTCAGAGGAACCTCCTGATATTAAGGTGTATCAGGACCACAGTGTGGAGGGTAAGGGCAGACAACTGTATGTTATAGCATTATAGATGAGAGCCAGTGGTTCTGTAAAGCATGTTCTGTGTGAAAGATAAAAATGGCATAGTGTGGCTTGTTACATTATTTTTTTTACTGTGTATGTTGCAGTTAGCATAACTTGAAAGGAAAAATTTAATCTATCTCAATATAATTTACAAGAATTTAAAAATCAGAAAAATAAAATTACTTCACTTTTATAAAGACTTTACTCTGATTTTTATCAGTGCTTTCTGAATTTCATTATAGTCCAAGTCACAGATATTTGACATATGAAATGTTTTTTTAATAGGCTCTATAGCTGGTGAACCCAAACCTCCCCCGGTTGTAAATCCTGGTACTCTGGTTGCTGAACCATATTCCTGGAAGAGTCTGGTGACGGGACAACCAATCTTAAGGATCAGAAGCACTGCCACCAAAGCAGCTGTCCTTAATCTACCAGCTGGGTAGGTCCTGCAACTTATAATGATTTCACTTTTTGAGCAAGATTTCCATTTCTGTAGCTTTAAAATGTATTACAAATGTATCGAATATATACATGCTTATAATGAATCTAATGATTTTTTTGTTCTTGGGCTTTAAAATGTATTACATAGGTTGCAATAAGTATACATGTTTTTTTTTTTGCAATTATACTCAATAAGCATGTAAATTTCAGTAAATTATTTGTTGTTTGTGCTTGAAATATTTATGTGTATACATATTCTTAAAATAAAAAATATTAAGATGAGAATTTTTTTGTAGACGCCATGTACTAAGGTTCATGATGTCTGGACCATTAGGTTATTGTGTCCATTTGGTGTCCACTGTTCCATTTGTTTTTGGAAATGAGGAGGAAGTCATGCCAGAACTCACAAAGGTTAGCTTGTAAACTCATTTGGACATAATGGCTATTTAAAGTTCAGTCAAGAGAAATGCTCAAAATCCTGTACAAAGTAAATTGTTATTTACGGTATTTCTGTGTTGCAGGAGAGTTGTCGGTTTGTGGACAATGCTCTACAAGTCATCAACAGCATAGGAAAGTGTATCAACAGCTTCACTGACTCAGAGGCCTTCAAGAAGAACTGGGATGAATTAGTCAGCTATCACTGCCCATACAGAAACGATAAACTTATGTCTAAACAACACCACTTTGACGTTAGTTATTATAATTCTTAAGCATGAAAATCTTACCTAAAAAATGATTACACGTTTAATGAAACAGATTTTATTGAAATATTATCCAGTCATGAACATTAACCACATTTACTTTAGCAAGATGAATATTTTGAAGACTTATTTAGCATCTGACACTACTGAGATTTACTTTTTCTTTCACTGTAGGTGTTTAATGATGCCCTATACAACATGTTACGTAAATGTCTGAGTGATATAGCAACTCCAGAAATAGCTTTTGCATGGAGATGTTTTACATTTGATGCCACATCTAAAAATATCCTAGGACTTCCCACTAGTAGTAGGCCAGGTATGCTGTATTCCTCTGATAATCTGATCTTTGATTTCTTGTCTGTTCAGATATTCATCATTGTTTAGATTCCAAAGTTTAACGTATAATATATATGATTCAAAACATAAATTATAATGCAATACTTTGAAAATCATGACTTTGCATGTAGACTTTAACCAGCCATATATAGAATAGTGAATATAATTGCATGTGTGAAAAAAAAGTTATGATATTTGTGATAAAATTAATCAAAGCATGTACTGTAAATCCTGAGGGATAAACTAACACACTAGGCTCCACATTATCAGGCACTGCCACCACGAGTCACCGCGGGTCTGCCAAACCACCAGGTGGTGGCAAGGAGAAGGATAAAGACAAAGACAAGGGGAAGCAACAACAGCAGCAGCGTAAGTGTCTAGTCAGGCTGTCTATTGTGTCTACAACTTCAGGCTGTCTATTGTGTCTACAACTTCAGCTTAAGTGTCTAGTCAATGTAGGCTGTCTATTGTGTCTACAAATTCATTGTACGTGTTTAGTCAATGTACACAAATGTTTCTTCAGTTACATAAAGCAATATATCTATTATGTTTATAGCGCTACATGTCAATAAGTGTCTTTTGTCTGTCTACAGCTCTGCTTAAACAGTTATATAAAGTTGTTTTTTTGTGTCTACATCTACATAAATGTTTCTTCAGCTACATAAAGCAATTGTCTATTGTGTCTACAGCTACATGTCAAGTGTCTTCACTTGTAGCTAAACCTCTCTATTGTCAGTCTACAGCTACACTTAAAACATAGCAGTTTATTTGTCTAAAGCTTCACCTACATGTGTTTGAAGTCTGTCTCTTGCTTTTTGTAAGACTTCACCTACAACCATAACCTTGTTGGCTAGTGTTGTGCATTAGCATCAACCATTTCAAACATGAAAACCTGTCATATGACATAAAGGTGGCATATGTGCTGGGAATATATACATAAATATAGAATAAAAACAATTTCCTGTAAACATTGAGGCTATAAGTCTCTCGTTTTTTATTTTAACATGTAAATGAATTAATGATAACTAGTGCATGTTGTGTGGTTTAATAAACTGACTTGTTTATTTATCAACATACTAACAGAGAAGCAGTGGTTAGATGTTGACAGTTACTCTTGTGACTACATGTAACAGTTAAATGTTAATTTATCTGAAACTGTGAGATTGATCTTAGTTCCTAATAATCCTTCTCTTTCTTCAGGTGAGACAGAGAAAGTAGAGAATCCTTGGGCAAACAGGTTTGTTAGTCTTTATATGGTAAATCAAGACTTGAATTATCTGTGAATATTGTTAAATTATGGATCTGATACTTTTGTAAAATGGTATTAATTTAGCTTAATTGTATATTACAGGGAACCTACTCCATTTGAACATACATCAGCTGTAAAGATTCAGAAGAGCTGGAAAGCTTACTATGTCAGAAAGATCACACAGGCCAGAACACAAGGTAAGGGCCACTCTCTCCCACTGATGTACACTTGTCTTATTTCTGATTGCAGTTATCTGATTTAATTAACATTGTCATCTTCCATGTCTTGTTCCTTTATCAGGCACTGAAGAGAATATCAAGGTATCAGAAAATCTCCAGAAGTGCTGGAACATCATAGAACCAAATGCTGAACAAAACGGTCTCTTCTTGTTCAGGTATCCATTGTAGATATCCACCCTTAATATGCATCTCTCTTTGAAAACAGTATTAGTTTGCTTAGAAGGTTTAATTTGCAGTAAAATATTTTTGAGACTCTGTTTAAGTACTTTAGGTTTTATCAGTTTTCTATTTTTGGTTTTATAGGTTCATGTTTAAGAACGACCCAGATATCATGGTAAAGTACCCCTTCTATCAGGATGAATGGAACAAGATTTCTTATGCAGATTACAGTGGTACCTACCCAGATCAGCCCCCTAACAATTGGTTCGTTGTCTTCAGGTGAGTCTTTTCACACCTTTCAGTATCAGTAGATAAACTATCTTCTGTAAAAAGCTACAGGAAAACTTTTTAAAAAGATTTATGTCCAAGGAGTGTGTATCAAAAATTTTAAATACGAATTATTCATTTTGCAATATGTCATTTGATGTTGAAGATAAACAATTCCATGTATTTCTTACTTAGGGAGATTTTCTATGTGAGTGAAGAGATGCTGGCTGTGCCTAAGTTGTATGTCCCAGTCAACACGTGTCTGCTGAGGGTAGTCAATAACGACACCGGAGAGGAAATCCCCCGCGTCTTCCAGAAAGTCGCCCCCTACGTCTACAAGAAAAATAGAGTCAGTAACTCAGTATCATACAAAAAATCTATGTAATATCAAACTCTAAATGATTAAACAAGTACTTTTTAATCCATATCAACACACATTTATGTTGTAAATTTGATTACAGAAAGGTTACACCTTTGTTGCCGAGGCAAGGACAACAGATCAGGGTATCCCTAGCAACAAGTGGAGGATGCGTCTGATTGGTTCATTGAGTCCCCTCCCAGCTCCAGCCAAACCAGACACCGTCAACTCAAGTTTTGTGGTCAAACACATCACAGACTATTATGTGCCAAATTCCAAAGATGTCATTTTCAGGTACATTCTGACTTAATCTCTCTACACCAAATATTATCTAAGAAATTGGAAAGTGGTGATTGCTGTGTAGTATGCAATGAAAAAGAAACACAATACAATATTTGAATTTTTTTTACTAGGTATACTGTTAAAGTGACAGAAGACCACCTGGCCTCGATTCAGGTCAACACGTCCAAACTGGACGTCTACATCAAACTGGTCATCCTGGACAATGAGACAGAGGTAGCTACCACGCAGGGCAAAGGTCATGCTGTCATTCCATCCTTTATCTTCCTGAAGGACCTTGACCCAAATGAAGAGAAGCGACCTAGCTCCAGAGCTTGTAAGTTTTCACTGATCTTGTGCCCCTGTTTAAGATACTCTTTTTCACCATCTATAATTGATTTAGAACATGATACAAAACATTTGTTTTGAATTTTAAAATAAACTTTGAATGTTTCAGCTACCAAAGAAACCAAGGGTAAAGGTGGAAGTAAAGAGAATGTTGGGAAGAAACGATCAGGATCTGGGAAGAGCCCCGAGGGCAGAACCTCAGTAAGTCAGGACTTCATATTAAACTGTCACATGACCACATACAGTGTCACATGTCTTTGTCTAACACTGTTGATTGGTCAGTTTTATTTTTGAACACTGTTGATTGGTCAGTTTTATTGTTGAACACTGTTGATTGGTCAGTTTTATTGTCTATCACTGTTGATTGGTCAGTTTCTTTGTTGAACACTGTTGATTTGTCAGTTTTATCGACTCACGTTATGCTGTGTTCTCCACAGAGACCAGGCAGCCGGATTTCTGACGCCAGTGAAGTCGATCTGGAAGAAAAGGATTACAAGGTTGGACATGCTTCACTCTGATTCTGCACACTTGTACCTTTGTTTATCAATATTTTGATTTTTTTTCACCACACCTCATTTGATTTAATGGTCTGATGTAAGTTTTTCTTTTTGGTTGTAGCCCCATAAATACATTATCCAAGCCATGGTGCAGAAGAACAGCTGGCCATTGTCAGAATCTAGCTGGGCGTTTGTACAGATGCTGAAAGACCTGGAGAAAAATGAACTCAAAGGTACATAACGTATGAATATTATGTCAATGTCCATAGTAAAATATATTAATTTATTTTATCAATAAATTATTTCCTAAATTGCAATTTGAAGGCCTCCTTTTTAAGACAATAATAATAGTATTGCTGTGTTGCCTGGTTTTCAGCACGAGAGGAAAGTAAGTTGAATTGTAGCCCTCGGTATACTGGGGGATTGTCTAAGGTTTATTTTACACAAATATCATATTGTGAAAGATGTAAGGTTGAAACTGGCCTGAATCATACATTTTATTTATATGTATTTTTGGATTGCTTATGTGATAAATTTTCTTGGAACCCTTCTCTTTATTGATAAGCTGGCTCTCTGAAAAACTAGGGACGAATTTAAAACTAATCATCTATATTGATTGATAATGCATTTACATTGGTTGCTTTCACAATATGATTGATAAAATACAAATATGTATACATGTATCTGAGATATTATAACTGTAGATGAGAAGATATGGTTTAATTTCACAAAGTAGTTGAAGAATATGGTCATATAATTAATGAACTTATATACTAGAGCTAGTACTTTTCTTTGCATGTTGTTTTATCTGATAGGGGACATTAAAAAGCATGTATTTTTTGAACAGATTGATATCTTTGAATACATTAACAAAAGTCAAATTATACCCAGAAATTAATTTCATGAGTCACTTTTAAATCAAAAAAACAAAAACAGAAAATTTTTCTTTTTTTGCTTGAAATTTTGTTGCAGTAGATAGCATTGGATCTAGTAGTGATTTTTATACATATTTTATGTTTTTCTCTGTTTAGCAGATAATTGGCCCTTCAGAAGACTAATTTTAATTATCCTTATGAAGTTAAAACTTGAAATCTTTCTGTAGTGGCCAATAAGGAGAGGCCCCCATCACCACCAAAACAAGAGAAAACTGCCGCCAGTACCAGTAGTAAGGACAAGGGTAAAGGTGGGGCCAAGGGCAAGGATAAGGGTAAAGATAAGGACCAGAAGGGGTCCAGGCCCTCATCACAACAGTTTGATCACAGTAAACCCCACTGGAGCCTCCGAATTGCCAGTGATGCCAGTGCTGCTGTAAGTACAGAGTCACACATGTAATAACAACACTCTGGTTACTGTCTTTAAGCTGCAGGTGCTTTGTTAATGATTTTGAATGGTTTTTAGGATGATATTGAAGTCAAAAAGGACACGGAGAGAGCTGATGAAATCAGGGCCCTCAAACGAGCCTGGGAAAACGCAGAGGAGGGTCGGGCAGTCAAGGTACAAGGCAGAATTGATAAAAATTTGACTTGCATTCAACTTATTGGGAAATTTTTTTTTTTAAAATTAAATATAAATAATAATGAGATTAAAAAAATCCTACACATTCTAAAAAAATATCAGAAATAAGGTTTCTCTATAGTTAAGTCCACTGTTAAAATTTGATTCAGGCAATGCAGTCACGGTTGAAGTACCTGAACACCCACACAATAAAGCTGGACTACGACAAGGAGGAGACGGAGGGAGGGGAGGAGAAACCGCTGGACCAGGAGGAGGTACCACCGCCCCAGACACCACTGTCCCTCCACGGAGACCAGGGGGAGGAGAACCTGACCCTGGAGCCACCGCTCGCCCCCACCCCCACAGAAATGTTACAACCCCTAGATCTTACTCCTTTCATGAAGTAGGTCAAATACTGTAAATCACTTTTTATTAGAAATTTATTTTTTTCCATAGAAACATGAGACAATCTGTTGTAAAAAATATCATAATTGCCTATATTAGTATTATTAAAGATGATAGAAAGCAATTCTTGAAAATTTATTGTTCCATGTACATTACACATAACAATCTCAGAAAAATATGATGTTATAAAATCCTGTTAAAAAAATCAGTATATGCAGAAAAAAAAGTCAGTTTATTGAATTGTGACATAATCCTATTTCAGAAAACCAGAGCATGAGCCCCGGTACCTTGATGAGGAGGAGATTCGTCGGCGGGAGGAGGAACAGAAGAGACAGGTGGAGGAGTACAAGGCCTTCAGGGACCAGGTCAAGGCCTGGCGGGAACAGGACAAACAGAAACGCAACCAGACAAAGATCAAACAGCTCGAGCAGTGTGAGGAACTACAGGTAGGGGGTGTACAGGTCAACTACAGGGACTAAAGGGGGAGGGGCGTAATTTTTACTGCAAAAACATAAAACTCTGTTCTCAGATGGCTATTTCTGGGCTTTACTAAACTTTTTACTGCACAGAGCTACTAATATACTCTTCAAATTCTTACTACTAATATGCATTCCCTGTACAACTCTCCATCATGTATTTCATTATTTTCTTGTCATTTTGTATATTGCCTCAATCTAACATGACTAACCTTTTTAACTCTGCCTTCTACCTCCATAGGACTTCCTCGACCAAGCTAGACAAGCTATAGCTCAGGCATATCAATCGATTCGTGCCAAACACCAGGACAACAAGGCCTCAATGGAAGTCTCTGAGCCAGCCACATAAACACTGTACTGCACACTTTTGTCATTTCATTGTCTGTGTGTTTAATTGTTTTGTGTTTGTTTTTGTTTTTTTTGCTTCATGAGGTTTTGTCAGTTGTGTGAATTGGCATTTTTCTCCATCAAACTTCCACTATCTTCTCCTCTTCACCTCTGTGTGGTCGTTTCATTTCTAAACACAGTATATCAAATCTTTTTTATGCACTTTTCTCAGTTTATTTTGTTTCATGTTGGTCTTATGCTTTTCTTTTAAGTCTAATGACTACTGTGAAATCACTTGTTTGTGGAGGGAGGGGAAATGATTTTAATTTGGTTGTGTATGTGGTAGAAAAGAGACCCACAGATGTAGGTTCCATAAGTATTATAAATTTTGAACTACAGTGTTGTATTGCTTCTTTAATCAACAAACAAATGTATTTTCCTCAAACCACAAACATTTCACCCCAAGAATAGTGACTTTACAGTATGTTAATCTGTAGAACTGATTGCTCACAAAGTTCATATTAAAACCTTAAAAATCTGCATCCTAGTTCACAGTTTTTTAATACAAATCTTTAGGTGATTTTCTTTCGCATGAAGTGTTTGAATAGCTGCTGTAGTTTTTAATGAAAATTTGAGAAATTTAAAATTCTATTTTTACTTGATATTTGTGTGCTTTGAACTCAACTGCACTGCTTTGTTTGTCTTTATGCTAGGCCATGTTGGATGCTGCACGTGAGTCTGTAAACGTTCCTCGAGAGGCCATACGTCAGAAATATTTGGAGGCCGAACGCAAAAAACAGGAGGAGCTAGACGCAAAAGAGGCAGCTTCTGTGTCTGACCAGAACGCCAAATCTCCCAAAGGAAGGAAGAGTGCCAAGGGCAAGAAAAGTCCGGCCAACGGCAAAAAGAAGGGGAAATAAATCCTGCAGTATTATACAAACTGTGTCAGCGTATCTGTGATAGCATTTATTGTAAATAATAATACTTCTGTTGTGAGGATAATGAATGCCGATTGTGTTTAAGATATGTTACTGTGGTAATATGAACACTTGTATGAAGTGTATAAAAAAAGTGCTACAGAATTTTAACTGATGTTTGGTGTATTTTGATATTTTTTGAGAATATGAAATTTATGATCCATTTTTATGTGCATTGTGTATTTGTGCACTGTTAATGTCTGTGTCATAAAAAATCACACCATACTGGTTAAGTGTGAAAAAAATTAGAAATCAAAGAGTCATTTCACATTCTACTTGTAATTTAAATTTATTAAAACAAAAATACTACATCTTTTATAAAAAGCAAGAAATTTAAGATTAGATGATTTCACTGGTTTGCAAAATCATTATTAGCACTTGTCTTTCTTTTTTTCTGCTCCGCTGGTAAAAAAATATGCTTAAAGGAGATTTTTGTCTCATGAAAACTGTGTTTTCAGACATTAACAGTGCTCCATGTTGACAGTCATTCCGTCCTACCACTGGTTCTTGCCGATCATAAGTGGCCCTTGTGAGCTCCGTCCTCTTAATGATCAATGTTGTATGTGATATTGTAAGTCCAGTGGTCCTCTCTAGTCCATATCACATGACCTTCCCAGCCAATCAAAACACTTCTTACAAAAGATGATTTTTTTTGGTTACATTTTACATGTTAACATCAAAACAATGTTGAACTATGAAGAAATGGGGGAAAGCAAGGATACAAGTAAAGGAATGTTTCATTGGTTGGGTGGTCAGCTTTTTACATATCAACTACTCTGTATTATGCATAATCTATTTTCTATCCTCCTTGGTCTGTCCTGGGACTTTTGTCCACTTTTAATGTCTCACATATCAACAGTTTTTGTTGTGTATTTGTACATATGTAGCATAAATGTGTATCATAAATGTCATATTTATTGTATTGTATTATATATGAAGATTTTTGTACATTCAATAAATGAATTAAAACATTGACATGTGATTTGTTTTTCTTTATTTATTAGGAATTAATTAAAAGGGAATTGAACATTGATTATTCTCATATCATTGAGAGGATGTTTGTATATTAAAGAGAATCATATGATTTACTGTCAGTAATTCCTAGAAATCCATTTAATGTCAATGCTTTGATGACAAGCATTTAAGAAAATGTAAAAGAATATTAAACACTCAAGATTGTTAGTGTAGTTAAAGGTTTAGGTCAGAAAGTTTGGATATATAATAATGCCAATGTTTTGTAGATTTTGGCTTCATGGGTAAAGGAAAGGCCTGAAGGTTTTGGGTTATATGGACCAAGCATTTTCTGATCATTGTCTGCAAAAATTGCAGATATGTATTTTGAGATGTGCACAGTGTATGCATATGGCTGCATAAAATTTCTCTAGAGTGTTCTATAGCATTTCCAATATCGATATAAAAATGCATGTAATATTTGATATTCTAGTCTATTCAAAGACTATCTATTTATATAACGAGAACTTGATAAACGTATTCATACAAAAACATTAATTCATGCTAGTAAACTTTACTTATGAATCAATGTTGTGATTATAGGTATTCGAAAAACAAGAGTTATGTCAAAAACTTGATTGTCTTGGTGAAGAATTCCCGGAGAAATATGGCGGGTCCCTGTCTGAAAATGAATGAGATGTATTCAGTTTGTACATCTTTCTATGTATCAATATCTCAACGTCCAGACTCCAACAAACATTTTCGTTATACTGTTTAGAGCATCCTTTAAAAGAAAGTCTTACCTATAGATCATGAGACTTTTTGTCCAAAGATTTATTAAGTTTTAAAATTCATATGTTTGCATCTTTTTTTAACTGCTAATATCAACATTTTTCCATTTTTATTTTATAAACTTGTGCATTTAGATAGAAATGAGAGAACACACAATACACAAAAGTCCCCATCCTGAAATCGAGCGACAATGCAAATACGGCGACATAAATATCTACCTACTTGTAAAAAAAATAGAATGAAAGTTTTCTATTTATGTCTATTAAAAAGTTAATGTTAAACTTTCAGTTTATATGGTTAATGGACTGACTTGTTAGAATTTAATAAGAAAGAAATCTATTAAGTGAACATTAAAACAATGCATAAAAATAAATTTTGAAAATTGAGAACCAAGAAATAAAAATAATTGAGGAAAATATTTTTAAAAATGTACATTGTCTTGTTTTGCACTCATATGCATTGAAATAACTCATTTCCGCCGAAAACAATTTTTTTAAAACTCAAAATCTGAATGTTTGAAAGATACATCTTAATAGTACGTGACTTTAAAAGGATCCCTTCGTAAATTTTCATATTCATCACTCGCGACTCTTTCAAAACCAAATTTTACATTTCGGTGACTGGGGGTGGGGGTCCTATTCACACTGAACTGTTAAATTATCTTGTTTAGATTTGAAAGATGTCCCGAGTCCTGTGGTAAACTAGAGGTACTGTGAGCAATGAGCTCACTAAATGATACACCCCTGGGTCCCCCTCCCCCGGCATCCCATATGATTACATAATGGCAGTGTCCATGTTTTGCTAGGGGAAACCCAAAGTATGTGTCGGATCAATAAGTAAAATAGGAGGACACAATGACAATATGTAATAAAGATTCCGTGTAAGTCTCATCAAATTTCATTCATTGGTATATTGTTACATGTATAATAATAATATGTTTATTCACCAATCAAGGGCCCTCTGGGGGCATGAACAAATTGTTACAATATGTTTACAGCCTGTGCCATAAGTATAGTTAAAACGTCATTCAAAAAATATAATCATTTTTAACTATAAAAGTGTTTGTAAAGAAATAATAACAGGTATATAATCTATATAGTGGCAATTGAAATGATTGTTTTCAGGGTTAAGTATAAACCTTACCATTGTGATTCAAGATTATCGCGTTAACATTTATACGTGTTCATGTAAAATATAGAGAACAGGTTGTTGACTATAGTTTACAGTCCGTAAACTATACGTCAACCGATACTACATTACGACTGTATCCTCCTGCTTTTCAAGCAGGGAATGATAAACAATACATGGAAGAAATCTGCACCTGCTTACTTTGAATAACCTGTTAAAATAACCCGCTATACGGTTATAAAGTGAGCATTGATTTTTTAAGTGCTATTATTTTGATGAGACACTTTTTAAAGTTTGATTTACATGTAAATATTAATTTTGTACCCCAAACCCTCCCGCCTAACATTTAAATCTATATAATCTTTCTATATATCCTGCTTTTCACCGAAACCCTAACATAAGTAATGCTATAAGAAATTTTACCTGCTACAATATTACATTTAAGCCTTATTTAAGTTAGCATTGATTTTTTAAGTGCTATTATTATGAGGAATTGTTTACATTTATTAAATAACATTTTTTTCTTTAAATATTAATTTTGTATCCAGGTCTACCTCTACCGAAACCCTTGCTCCCCTTTCCAACCTAACATTTAAATCTATAAATATATCTCCAACCAGGAAGTAATTTACAGATATCGTTTAAGTCTCGCCTCAAATCTCATTCTCACATTCCAAAGTCTGTAAATAAAGTAAGTCATTTATAGGTCATTCATAAAAGCTGTATCTAAACATTTTAACTAATTATGACTGGATTATGATGCAGTTTTGGTGTCCTTGTTCTATATAATTTATATTCTTACTCAATGTAGTACTACAGAAAAAATTACCATACCTTCTTTGTAAACGATTTCTGCATGATCATTTCAGATGGCGTTATCTAAAATGGATATTCCCCGCCGAGCCCAGCACTTTTTAGAATGTGGCATTGAAGAATGTGAAAGAAACTGTGAGTTCTATTGCAACCCTTGTCATCAAAGATTGTGCAAGCAATGCAGCGAGGAACATCTGAAAAGTCCAGAAAACAAGAACCATGAGGTGGTCCTTTACCAGCAACGCAAACGACAACTTCCTGTGAAGAAATGCAAGATCCACCCCACTAAAGAAGTGGACATGCTCTGTGAAGAATGCCAAGTTTCAGTATGTTCTAAATGTGCCACACAGCAAAATCATCGGGGCATGTATTTACTGATCTAGAAACAATTTATGCAGATAAATATGCAGACTTTCAAAAGGAAATCTCCAAAATTCATGAGTACTTTCTCCCTACATCACAAGACTTACAGAAAGAAATTAAAAAAGATTCCTCCGAAATCAAAAACATTATGGACAGCATCAGAACATCCATGAAGACTGAAGGTGAGTCCCTGAAAAGTCTGGTGGACACAGTCGTATCTGAGAGCTTGAAGCAGTTAGACCAGATAGAGCATTCACTGTTAGAAGATCTAAACACCCAGGACAAGACATTGGATGATTACATCTCTTATCTTAATAGCCTCGTCAAAGAGCTCCACAGATGCCTTGTCTCTACAGAACCCCAGAAATTAATGTTGGAGAAGAAACCAAAGACCCGAGCCATACCAGAGACAACAAAACCAGTCATACCAGGATTTACTGCTGGTCAGTTCAGCAAAAGTGATGTCAGTAAATTACTTGGTAAAATACAGACCCCCTACACCAAAGCAGAAAAGAGAGAAATAAGGCCCATTGAAAGTATCTACAATACAGCAATGAAACCTACACATAAACAGATGAAAGATGATAGAAAAACATCTGAAATGAAACAAACATTGTCTCTATCTGCCTCTGTCACCAAGGTCAGGGAGTTCAATGTACTGGGTGTTGATAGTGTATACCATGTATCACTAGATCAATCAGGCAGACTCTTGATCAGTGACAGTATTGGTAATCTTGTCCAAACAGATCTACAAGGGAATGTGATACAGAAGATAAAAACCAGTGGTGGAATAGGAGGTTACCACACAGTGACACAGGACAGGGATCTGATCTTTACAGACAAAGACAAGAAAGTCATCAATAGGATAACACAGGATAATAATATCACTGAATTCATTAAAACTGGAGACTGGGCACCACTCAGCATACACTCTTCCCACATCAATGGGGACTTACTGGTGGGAATGAAGAAGGATGGAGAGGCTAAAGTCACCAGGTACAACAAGACAGGAAAAGAAATACAGAACATCCAGAGGGATAACGAAGGACAGGAACTGTATAGTCATCCACACTACATCACAGAAAACATCAATGGAGATATCTGTACATCAGACTGTTTTAAAGGAGTAGTGGTGGTGAATAAATCAGGACAACACAGGTTCTCCTACAAAGGTCAGGAGTCAGAGTTCTATATATATGGAATCTGTACTGATGTCTTCGGTCACATCCTGGTGTGTGATGATGTCAGTGAAACTGTTCACCTCCTTGATCAGGACGGTCAGTTCTTGTCTCTATTACTCACGCAACAACAAGAGGTAGACAGTCCCCGTAGTTTGTGTGTGGATGATGAGAACAATCTCTATGTTGGACAACTGGGCAAAACACTGACAGTGTACAAGTATCTAATGTGATTCTTATTCTGGATTTAACAAAACACTCACAGTAAATGTATGAATCAAAATATCCATTCATAATTATTTTTATTTACTTTCTATACTACATTTTGTACATTCTGTTATTGCATGATAGATATTGGTGAAAACTCAGCATAATCCATGGTAAACTGTTAAAGTACATGTAAATATATGTACTTAGAAAAATATCATAAATAGATATGCGAGTTATAATTCAAAGATTTATTTTAATTAATGTGATTCCATTTAATTGAATTTATGAAGCATGCAATTGACTTATGATTTAGTATACTAGTATTTCAAACTGGAATCTTATCAACTCCTTCAGTGATATACTTTTTTAAAAACTGTTTTATTATACCAATACAAAGGTGAAAAAAATAGAGGATTACTATTAACTGTATAATATGTAAGGAATGGCATTCAGGATCAAAAGTCCATTAAACAAGCATACAAAATAGGAGCAGAGCAAACACGGACCTCCGAAACATTTGATTTGGGATCAGGTGCCA